GCTTGCCATTCCCAGGAAACCTCCCTCCCTGCAGCAGGATGTGTGGGGAGCCTGGGATGAGCCTCGGGAGGGAAATTGCTGCTCCGGAGGGAAAACGTGTCCCCGGATCTGCCCCCCCGAGGGTCCTGCTGCCCCCGCTGTGCCTCCTGCATCCTCTCATCCCACTGGGATTCGTGTCACATTCCCAGTGAGGTTTTCCCCCAGACTCCTGATCCCCACCCGTGTTCCCAGCCTGCCACCCCAAGCAGGTCTCCGGGAGCCTCTTCCCGACCTCGGAGGCAGACAGGGGGCACCCACCCTCCCCTAACCCCCCGCCCCCCCCGTTCCTGCCACCCGGCACGAGCTGCCAGGGAGGTAAAAATACTCCCGGGAGCGGGTGACGGCGCCGGGCCGGGAGATCCGCGGGCGTTCCGGGTATTTATAGCCCGGCAGGTCTGGGCTGCCACCCACCCCCCATCTGCGCCCCCCCGGCCCCCCCCCGGGCCCCCCCCGGGCCCCCCCGTGTCCCCGCGGCCCTTCCAAGCCCCCGGGACAGGTGGGAATACTGAGGGATGTCACCGGCACGTCCCAGAGCCCCCCCGCCCCAGCCCAGGGCACCCAAAGGTGGGGCTGCCCCCCCTGTGCCCCCCCGGGCCGGTCCCTCCCAGGGGGACGAGCCCCCCCCTTCCAGTCCTTCCCTGGAGGGGGGTGCACCCCAACCCCAACCCCTGTCCCCCATCCAACGGGGTCACATCCACCTCTGCTGTGGGGTGCCGAGGCTGGAGCAGGGATCCAGTCCCCCCAGCCCAAACTGGGACTGAACTGGGACAGCACATCACGGGCTGGGGGGCACTGGGGGGCTCTAGGGGTGTCCCCACCTCATTGGGACCAGCTGGGGACAATGTGGGGACCACGTGCTGGGAACCACCTCCTTGGGAATCTGATGCTGGGGACACCGTGGTGGGGGCCACATCCTGGGGATTCTGGGGACCCCAGCGAGGGGCTGGTGGATCTGGGGGAGCCCCAGGGATTCCAGGGAACCCCATTCTGGGCTGGTGAGTCTGGGGGAGCTTCAGGATTCCAGGGACCCCAGTGGGGGCTGCTGGGTCCCGGGGAGCCCCAGGATTCCAGGGACTGTGATCCTGGACTGGCTGGTCCCGGGGAGCCCCAGGATTCCAGGACCCCGAGTGTGGGCCGGGGGTGCCGGGGCCGGGCGGGTGACATTGAGCGCGGTGGCTGCACGGAGGCTGCACAAAGCCACGGCTCCGTGTCGTGCTGCTCTTCCCGGGGCTGGATGTGCTCCCGGGAGCGGAGCTGGCGGAGTGATTTAATCCACACTGACTGCAGCTGACCTTGGAAACCCGCCCAGGCACGGCCGGCACCGACAGCGGCTGCACTGGGGGAGCGGGGCCCGGGGGGGTTCAGGGGTGCAGGGGGGACCCACCCCGGTCCCGACCACCCCCTCCTGCCCTCCCGGCCCCTCCGTGGCCACATCGCCCTCAGCACCCAGGAATTCTTTGCTTTATGTCCCCCCGTGCTGGAGCTGTGGGACTGTGGGGTGACGGTGACAGTGACGGTGACAGTGACGGTGACAATGAAGGTGACAGTGACGGTGACAATGAAGGTGACAGTGACGGTGACAGTGGCACATCTGGCGTTGGATGGACCCGGCTCTGTGGTTGGGTGGTCCTGGGAGTTGTCTCTGCACCCCCAGCTCCTCTTGCAGCTTTCCAGCCGCTTCCCCAAGCCTGGAGTGTTCCATGGGGTTGGTGTGACTCAAGGGTGGGACACGGCACCTTGTGGAATCATGGAATGGTTTGGGTGGGAAGGGATCCTCAAGGTCATCCAGTCCCACCCCTGCCATGGGCAGGGACACCTTCCACCAGCCCAGGTTGCTCCAAGCCCCGTCCAACCTGCCCTTGGACACTTCCAGGGATCCAGGGGCAGCCACAGCTTCTCTGGGCCGCCTGTCCCAGTGCTCCACTTGGCCTTGTTGAACCTCATCCCACTGATCTTGTCCCACGGATCCGGCCTGTCCAGATGCGTCTGTGGAGCCCTCCTGCCCCCAGGCACATCCAGCACAAACCAACCCTCGGCAGTGGAATGAACAGGACATGACACAGCACATCCCTGCTGTGGGCTGAGGGCTGACCCCATCCCATCCCCATCCCATCCCATCTCATCCCATCCCTTCCCATCCCATGTCATCCCATGTCATCCCATGCCATCCCATCCCATGCCATCCCATCCCATCTCATCCCATCCCATCCCATCCCATCCCATGTCATCCCATCCCATCCCATCCCATCCCATGTCATCCCATCCCCATGCCATGCCATCCCATCCCATGCCATCCCTATCCCCATCCCAATCCCTCCTTGCTCCTCCCCTCCCTGTGACACTCCAGGATCCCCTCCCAGTCCGTAGGATCCCCCGTCCCCTCTCCGCCCCCTCTGCCCCTCCCGATCCAGGTGTTTCCCGTGCCAGCCGCTCCTGAGCCAGACACCGCCAGAGCCCCGGAGCAGCTGAATTCCCAACCTGCCTCTCGGAGTAATCGGCGTCTCTTTTTCCCCTCCAGTGGTTCTGACACGAGCTTTGCTGCGAGGAATCGCTTTAACCGCTCCCCTTAATTGGCTCTTTCCTGCCGGAGCCCCCTCTCCGCTGCGGAAAAGCCTCGGCTCCGGCGCCCTGCCAGCACTCCGACCTTTTCTGCATCTTTATGTTCCTTTAATAAGTGATTTTTGGGATGAGCCGAGGCTTTGAAGGGGGTTAGGGACGCTCCTGCCTCGCCTGTCTGGCTCCCTTTGGCTCAAGCTGCCGGAGCGAGCGCCGGCCGTGCGGAACGGGCACGGTGCCGTGCCTGGAAAAAAATCCATAGTGCCCAAATCCAGCCCCGGGGCGGCGGGAGGCAGCACCAGGATGTCCCCAGGGATCGCTGGGTCACCCCTGGGTCACCCCTGGGTCACCTCATGTCCCCAGACCAAGGCAGCCTCAGCCTCCTCCCGCTGACCAGGGAGGATGGAGCTTCCCTGGGGAGGCAGAGCTGTGGGATTGGGTGGGATTGGCATGGAAGTGGTGCCAGCGGATGTGGGATGTGATGCTGGGAGCTGCTGAGGGGGTGATGGCCAGGAGGTGCTGGAGGTGATGCCTGGAGAAGGGAAGGCTCTAGGGAGACCTTCCAGTGCCTAAAGGGGCTCCAGGAGAGCTGGAGAGGGACTTGGACAAGGGATGGAGGAACAGAACACAGGGAATGGCTTCCCACTGCCAGAGGGCAGGGAGAGATGGGATATTGGGAAGGAATTGCTGGCTGGGAGGGTGGGCAGGCCCTGGC